TCAGTTAAATAGCAACATTAACATTAAACTCATAAAATTATACTTCTTTTAAAAACTAAATGTGACAGGTAGCTGTGATGATGTTTTTTCTGCTTCCATTCTGATGGATTAAAAAAAAACCTTATCTTCTTTATCTATTCACCTATTGATAGGCATCTGGGCTGTTTACAAGATTCAGCTATTACAACCTGTGGTGCTATAAACATTAGTATGCATATATTATTGTGATATGATGCTTTTAACTCTTTAGGGAAGATACTAAAAGGGGAATAGCTGAGTCAAAAGGAACCTCTAGGTTTTTTGAGGACTCTCCACACTAATTTCCACAGTGGTTGCACCAGTCTGCACTCCCACCAGCAGTGGAGAAGGGTTCTTTTTCCCCACAGCCCCGCCAGCCTTTGGGAGTGAGATAGGATCTCAGTATTGTTTTCATTTGCATCTCCTGAATAACCAGAGATGTTGAGCATTTTTTATATATTTATTTGCATTTGTACTTCTTCATCTGAGAAATGTCAGTTCATTTCAGATTCCCATTTTTGGATTGGGCCTTTAAATTGGAGGGGGTCTGATTTTTTTGAGGCCTTTATATATTGCGGATATTAGTCCTTTGTCTGAGGTACAGCTGGCAAAAATTTGTACCCATTCTGTGGGTTGTCTCTTTACTCTGTTAGTGGTTTCTTTTCCTGTGCAAAAGCTTTTAATATATTGAGATCCCAGTTATTGATTCTTTGTAATATTTCTTGTGTAATTGGGGTTTAGTTGATAAAGGCTTTGCTTACAAAGCCTTTGATCTCCTTTTTCAGAGTATTTACATTTTTTCTTGCAAAGGTCATTTACTTCCTTCATTAGATTGATTCCTAAGTACTTCATTTTTTGTGCTATGATGACACGTATGGTTTCCCTAATTTCTCTTTCAATGAGTTTGGAATGCTATTAATTTTTGAGTGTTCACTTTGTATCCAGCTATGCTACTGAATTGGTTTGTTAAATCTACAAGTCTTTTGGTGGAGTTTGGAGGGCCTTCTATGTGGGGTGTCATGCCGTCCACAAATAATGATAATTTAACTTTTTCCTTTCCTATCCTTATTCCTTTTATTTGTTTCTCTTTGTCTAATTGCTCTGGCTAATGTTTCCAGAACTATATTGAATAGAAGTGGTGGTAGTAGAAATCCTTCCTCCTGATTTTAGAGTGAAAGCTTTCAGTTTTTGACCATTCAGTCTGATGTTGGCATTTGGTTTGTTGTTGATGGCTTTTACCAGATTGAGATAAAAACCACATGTACCAGTAGGGTTTTTATCACAAATGAATGTTGATGAGTGTTGGACTTTGTCAAATGCTTTTTCTGCATCTATTGAGATGACTGTGTGATTTCTGTCCTTGGTTCTGTTAATGTGATATATTACATTTATTGATTTGTGTATGTATTGAACCATCCCTGCATTGCTGGGATGAATCATACTTGGTCATGTTGTATAATCTTCTGGATGATTTGCTGCATTCTGTTTGTCAGTACCTTGAGGATTTTTGAGTCTATGTTCATTAGGGAGATTGGTCTGTAGTGCTTTTTTGGTTGGATCCTTCTCTGGTTTTGGTGTCAGAGTAATACTTGCTTCCATTAGTGACGTTGGGAGTATTGCTTCCCTTTAAATTTCATTAAACAGTTTGAGGATAGTGGCATTAGGTCTTCTCTAAAGTTCTTATAGAATTCAGCAGTGAATCTGTCAGGACGCAGGCTTTTCTTTGTTAGTAGGGTTTTTTTGTTTATTACTTCTTCAATTTCACTGAGTGATATTGGGTTATGGAGAATTTTTCTTTTTTTTTTTGAATTTTTCTATCTTCTTGATTCTGTTTTGGTAATTCAGATGTATCTAGGAATGTGTCCGTTTCTTCTGTTTTCCATCTTACTGGAGTACAGGTTCTTGAAGTAGGTATGGATGAGCTTCTGGATTTCTGCAGAATCCGTTGTGATTTTACTCTTCATTCTTAAATGCATGGATTTGGATCTTTTCTTCCTTTTGATAAAATTGGCTAAGGGTTTGTCTCTTTTATTTAATTTTTCAAATGATCAACTCTGATTTATTGATTCTTTGTATTGTTTTTTTCAGTCTCAATTGCATTAATTTCTGCTCTGATCTTTGTAATTTCCTGCCTTGTACAAGCTTTGGGTTTAACTTGCTGTTCTTTTTCTAGTAGCTTGAGATTCAACATTAAATTGTTTATTTTTAACTTGCGTTTTTCTGATGCAGTAATTCACCACTATAAATTTCCCCATAGAACTGCTATTATTGTGTCCCATAACTTCCAGTATTGGCATTATTGTTTAATTGTGCAAACTATCTAATTTCTTCTTTAATTTCATCTCTGACGCATTGGTTGTTCAGGAGGGTACTGTTTAATTTCCATGTATTTATGCAGTTTATATGGTTTGTTTTGCCATTGTTTTCTAATTTCACTGCACTATGGTCTGATAATATGCATGGGATAATTTCAGTTCCTTTGCATTTACTTAAGCATGTTTTGTGAACTAGTATGTGGTCTGTTTTGAAGAAAGTCCTGTGTACAGCTGAAAAGAATACAGATTCTGATGCTGGGGTGGGGGACACACTACATTTAGATATCTACTAAGTCCATTTGTTCAAAGTTTTGGTTCAGTTCTGATATTTCTTTGTTGATTTTTTTTTTTTTGTCTAGCTAATCTATTTGTGACAGTGTGGTGTTTAGGTCCCTCATTACATTTGTATTCGTACTTGTTAGATTTTTCAAGTCCTTTAATAAGGTGTTTTATATAGTTGGGTGAGCTGGTATTTGGTGCATCCATATTTGTAATCAATATCTTTTCCTCTTGGATTATTTGCTTAGTAAGTAAGTAGTGCTCATCTTTGTTTCTCTTGATCAGTCTTGGCTTGAGCTCCATTTTGTCTACAAAAGAATAACTACTCTTACTTTTTCCAGGTTCCTGTTACATGGAGTATTGTCTTCTATCCTTTGACTTTCCATCTATGAATTTGTTTTTGAGTTAAATGTGTTTCTTTTATGCATCAGATTGTTGGATCTTGTTTCTTGATCCATTCTGCCAATCTGTTCCTTTTCATTGGTGAGTTGAGGCCATTTACATTTACAGTTATAACTGATATGTGTTGACTTTCCTTGTCATATAATATTCCTGGTTGTTTGTGCTTCCCTTTCTTTTTCTTCTGTTTAATTGCTTGCCTTACCTGATGGATTTATTCTGTTGGGGTCCATGGAATTGTAGTCTTTGTTACTTTTCTAAAATTTCCTTCAAAACTTTTTGGAATGTTGCTTTGGTGGTCATGAATTTCTTCGGGTGTTCTTTATCACAGAAGTATCTTATTTCTCCATCAATTTTGAAATATAGTTTTGCAGGTACAACAATCTGTGTTGGAGGTTGTTTTCTTTAGGGCTTGAAATACTTTGCTCCAAGCTCTCTGTGACATAAGGGTTTGTGTTTAAAATTCTGCTGTGATTTTATGGGTTTTCTTTTATAGGGGATTTGTTTCTCTTGAACAGTTTTTACTATTCGGTTTTTGTGCTGCATTTCTGGAATCTTGACTTACATGTCTTGATGTAGTTTTTCTCTGATCATGGTTATTTATGGTTCTATGCAAGTCACTTATCTGTATTCTCAAATTCTTTTTCATACATGGAAAGTTTTCTGCCGTTACTTCTGTAAACAAGTTTTTTATGTTCATTGTATTATCTTCTGATTTTTCATTTATTCCAGTTAATCTTATATTATTATTCTTCCCATCATCTAGCAGCTGTTATATTGATTTTTCATGGTTCCTTGCTAATTTTAAGAAGTCTTTCATTTAATGTCTTCTAGATCTGATACTCTGTCTTCACATTGGTTGATTCTGCTGTGTATACTTTCAATAGAATTTTTAATCTCTTGCATATCTACTTGAATCTCTTTTATATAATTTTTTTTCCTTTGTTGGGCATTCATGGTTTCCCTACATTTTTTACCTGTATCTGCTATAATTTCACTAACCATTTCATCATCTTGATCATCTTGCTCATCATCTCTTTAATTACCTGTGTAATTATTTCTGTTTTGGTTTTGTCTAGAGGCTTGTTCATCTGCTTTGTTATTTGCACGCCTACCATTTCAGACAGTTTACTTGGGTGGCCATTGTTTTCTTCTACCTCAACACCCTGTAGATTTGCCTTAGGAAGGTTGGAAGTGTTAGCTTGCATCTTGCTTCCATGTTTCTCATTTTCTACTTTTGTTTATTTGTTTTCTGTGTTGAGGCTTGTAAATAGCTTATGCTGGGTAGCTTTGTTACTAGTATTGAGTAATAAATTGATTACTGTAATTATTGTAACAATTATTGAATAAAATAAGTAATAATTACTGAATAAAATCTAAGACAAATAAAATAAGCAATAACTATTGAATAAAATCTAAGACAAATCAGAAAATTATATACTATATATATTCCCTAAATGGAGCGATTTTACCTTAAGGGAGAAAATTTAAAACGGTAAAGAGGAAAAAATAGAGACATGAAAGAAGGAAAAGAGATTAGAAGCAAGAAAGATTATCCAAGTGTAGGAGGCCAACCTGTGAGCTTGTACCTGACCAAGGACATCATGGTTCACCAAGGGGTGATAAGATGAAACACAGAGAGACACAGAACAGGTTAAAATGTGGGAGACCAGAGGACTTTTATCTCCCTTCAACAGAGTCCTGAGTGACTGGTGCGCACTGGCTTTATTTATTCAGACATGGGCACAAGCAGTAAGAGTAACAGGGGACTCCATTGTATGTATCCAAGTAAACGTGATCTCAGCTGTGCTGATTTTCCCTGTAGCGTGTCAGCACCCACTCACACCGCCTTTCTCTCTACTGCTCACAGAAGAGCACTAGGAAGATTAAATTAGATTAAGGCCTTAATCTTCCCATCTGGTCTCCCACATCCAAGCCTCGGGATACTGGTAAAGAAAACATTAGGGGGGAAACACGGAGAAAAAAAGAACAAAGCAAAACAAAACCAAAAAACTAAAACCAGTCCTCATACTCACAAAAAAGCAAGCAATGAAAAGAAAAGACTGAAGTGAACAAAAAATTTTTAAAAGACCAATAGCAAAGGAAAAAAAAGATAATTTTCTTCGTGATTTCAAGCCTGTGGTTATTTTCTTGGGCCTACGGTTTTTCTGTAATGTCCATTTCAAGGCGTGACTCTGCTCTGGATGATAGACACGGAAGCAGTCAGAGCCCAGATCCACACCGGCAGTAGGGTTAGGGTGGTGTGCCAGTTTGAGACTTTCAAACCCACAGAGATGCAGGCTAACCTGCCCTCCGGTCCTGGGGACGGGCCCTGAGCTGTTTAGCTTATAACACTGGGTATCTCTGGCTAGCCTGACCGTGGCTTCTTGGCCCCAGTGGATGTCCTTACCCAGTCACTGTGGGAGTTAACACTGGAAGCCCTGAGATGAAGCCAGCCTGCAGCTGCTCCGAGTTCCAGGTTCAGCTGGCCCTTCCCTGAAATGGTGTCTGACCGGACACCCTCTCCAGGAATATGGCAGTGCTTAGTCCGGAACCACTCACTGGCTGTTGTAGTGTACAGCGTCCACTGGTCCATTCTACTTGTGTTTCTCCCTGGAGGCCTCTAGAGTCACCCGCTTTCACTGTTTCAGTGTGTCTCTGTGGACTTGATCTTCCCTTTTTCTGGCCAGGACCCAGGAGCCAGGGAGAAAGTGCAGACTGCCCTTTCCTTTTTCTGCATTGTAGTCTCTTCGGTTTCTCTGTAAGCTCCAGTTTTCCCTTCGGATCATTCCTGGGTCCCAGGGATCTGCCTGGCCCCTTCTTTTCTGCCCCACTTTCTTATGTTCCAAGGTCTGGACTCCGAATCTTGGAGAGGCTGGTTTATTGCTGCTTACCATTCCACTGTCTTCCCAGAAGTCTCTTTTTAATTTCTTTAATTCAAATTTTGTTACTTTGTTTTTTTTTTCCTGAGGCTTATCAAGTTAAAATCCTACATAAAAAGATAGATTACCTGAAATGATTCATAGATTTTTCTGTATATAGACAGATAAATTACACATATCAATGTATGCATACACACACATGCCACACACATGTGTAAGTTAAATGTAGTGAATACATACATGTGCATTCATGGCGAGTGACCATGTCCTCCCCAGGGATTTTAAAAAATAAATGTAAGCTCACAGGGTAAAGACACCAAGCACAGAAAGAAGTGCTCACAGAAGACGGTGCTGAGCCAGATCTCCTAGCACTATGAAATGATTTGATATACTGCTGTAGTTCTTTCTCTGCTTCTGTCCACAGAAGGAAGGATGTACAAGAGAATGCCGAGAACGGTTTGACTTACAATGAGAGACCCAACATATGAATAAAAAAATAAATAAATACAAAGTAGCTAATAGAAAGTAGGGGGATAGGTCTTTCCCAGATAAGAAGGCGATAAAAGATGAGTGGAGGAGGAACGGAGGGAACATGGATGAAGAAAAGACTTTTTCAGGTCATATCGATAACTCTGGTTGAAACCCAGTAGCTCTCTTTACCTTCCTACAGCTAAGCCAGTTAAACGTGATGCAGGAAAAGTCACGTTATCTCTCTCAGTTCAAGCTGAGCCGTTCTCCAAAGGTCAAGGCAGCCGAACAGTCCTGCTGCGTTTCCCGTGTCCATTCCTCCACTCTCCAGACGACCATCTCATGCCTTGTGCTTTCTCCTTGAGCCTGTACCACCAGTCTCAGCTCTGACCTTATTTAATACTTCACTGGGAAAACAAAGGTCACTGAAAGAGAGCTTGTCTGTATCTGCACTCAGAGTTTCGGCCTTACATGGTGGTACAGTGCCTGGAGGGTCCCGCTCCGCTGTCAGCCAAGCCCTCTGCTGTTTTTTGAAAACACCTTCTTGCGCTCCCCTGTCATGCACACACCGTCAGTTTCTCCCTCTCCTCTGCATCGTGTCCATTAGCATAAAGACATACCTTCGTGTTTTCAGCCCAGCCTTCCATCTGTAATCCCACTTGGCTGCAGTCCTAGTTCTGTGCCCTTGGAGCAACACCTCTGAAGGAGTTGTGTCAGGCTTATTTCCTGCTGCCTCCACCTGCGCCACTGGGCTTCGCGTCTCCCTGCCTGCGACTGAAACTGCTTCTCAAAGTTCCCAGAGTCCCCCAGTGGTGTATCCCATGGCCTCTCCTCTGTCTTCATCTCACTCTTTTAACAAATTTTGTCACAACCAATCGCTCCCTCTTTCTTAGAACTCCTTCTGCAATATCTTTTCAGTCTTCCTGTTGACTCTTCCTGCTCTACTTCTAAACCCTCCTCCTGTCTTCTCTTTCTGTGCCTTTACTCCAGGGGTACCTCATCTAGCTTTTTAAAAGTTTTTATTAATACATGTTTGCAACACACTAGATTTACATTCATCTTAGGGTCGGTACATGTACATAACACAACTTGTTTCTGGTTTTTTTTTTTTTTTTTTTTTTTTTTTTTTTTTTTTTTTTTTTGTCTTTTTGAGACAGGGTCGCGCTATGCAGCTCAGGCTGGTCTTGAGCTCACTTTGTAGCCCAGGCTGGCCTCGATCTCGCAGCGATCTTCCTGCCTCAGCCTCCCAAGTGCTGGGATTACAGGCTTGCACCACCACACCTGGCTTGTTTCTGTTTTTAATCTGCTTCCCTTTCCCACCCTCCTCCCTCCCTCCATCTCTAAATCTCCTTTCCCTATTTTCTTTCTTGTTACTATTATTAGTAGCACATGTTTATGACGTACAGTGTTTACATTCATCATGAGTATCTGGTAGCAGCGAACAGCATATCTTACATTTTCTTTCTTCCCTTCCCCTCCCTTGCCCTCAGTCTCCCAGACCCCTTTGCATTTGCAGGAAATCTGTCCCCTTGTCCATCTGTCCACCTTTCACTTTCCTCTTCGTTTACACATTGCCTTAGTCATGTGAGAGATACCATGCAGTGTTTAAACTTGTGTGTCTGATTTGTTTCACTCACATTATATTTCCAGGTGCGTCCATTTTCTGAAATATGTCTTGAATTTGTCCTTTTTTGTAGCTGGGTAGTATCCCACTATGTATGGATAGCACATTTTCTTTATTCATTCATCTGTTGATGGGCATACAGGCTGCTTGCAGGATTCAGCTATTGTGAAATATACTGCTATAAACATTAGTGTGCATTTGCAGAAGATTGAAGCTGGACCCATACTTTTCACCATATATATTAAACTAAAACCAAAATAGATCTTAAAACAGAAACACTGAATCTCCCGAAAGATGAAATAGGTGAAACACATGAAATCATGTGTAGGTATAGGCAAGGATTTTCTGAACAGAACTCCTGTAGCACAAGAAATAACAGCAAGAATCAACAGATGGGATTATATCAAATTAAAAACTTCTGCAAAATGAAAGAAGCAATTAACAGCAGAACAGACAGCCTACAGATTGGAAAAAAAATTGCCAGGGAACTAATATCTAGACTATATAAAGAACTCAAAAAAACTAGACCACCCAGAATAAAAGATCCGTCAAGAAATGGACAATGAGGTGAACAGACGCGTCTCAGAAGTGAAGTGGCCAGCAAACACGTGAAGAAGTGTTCACCATCTCTGGCCGCTAGAGAAATGCAGATTAAAACAAGGCGAAGATTTCACGTTACACCGCATAGAGAGGCCCCCATCCAGACGTCAGAGAGTAACAAAAGCTCGCGTGGCGGGGGGGGGGGGGGGGGGGTGCAGAAAGGAAGTGGAGACCGTGCAACTGACTTTCCAGATTGTGCAGCAGAATGTGCGGGAATTCGGTGCTTTGTCGCTGACTTTACTTATCTTTCTGTAAAACTAACAAATTGGTGAGGTTGGATGTATTTTCATTCTGAAAATAAAATCAGTCACGAAGGTATTATGGGGAATTTTAAAAGATTTTTAGGAGTCAGTTTTCAAGAGGCATTTGTTTATGTTCACTATCCTGTGCATTGTGAGAGGTAGTGAACAAAACGGAAACATTTTGAAGTAGGATTTTAATTCTGCTTGAACCTTTGTGACTGTTTAGCTTGTGTGTGTGTGAAGTTTGAAATACAAGTGCTATATTTATTTTCAGAGATCTGTACTATTAAGTCACACTTGTATCATTGTCCTTCTGGGAAGATACTCTCCTGAACTGTCTACACCAGTAATAGATTTGCTGAAATACATATTTTTGCTTTGTAGATGCAGATAGACAAGATTCCATTAATCTCTTCCTGGGCGTTTTCCATCCCACTGAAGGGAAACCTCATCTCTGGGAACTCCCGACAGATTTTTATCTACATCACAAAAACACCATGAAACTTTTACCGACAAGAAGAAGGTATGTGAACTCAGATTTGCTCTTGTTTTGAATATAAGGTTTCTTTTGCATTTTGAGAAATAAGTACATAAACTAAAGTCATTCTTCCCACAAGTTTGACATGGATTTACTGTTGTCGATGTCCTGAGAGTCAGCGGGTAAAATTGTAATTATCAGTTGGTGTTTCGCTAAGGTCGGATTAAGTTGCGGAACTTCATCACAGCCTGTGAGTGCAGCTCCACTAAAGCAAAGCGGCAGCGTCATTTTTTAGTGTTTCATAAATGTGAACCCCTTAAGAACGCTAAGAAGTTGATCTTCAGGTTTTCATGTGTGACATTCAAGCAGCATCACTTTGTGACTCAGTTGTTGTTTCTTCCAAGAGACGTGGCCACCTTCAGTAACACGAGTAAAGACAGGACCACAGAGCAGTGACAGTAGTAACCACCCCTGTCACCCCTGTCACTCAGTTTGGCTTCCCAGAATCATTCATGGGCGTAGGTTATTTGGTGACTGTTAAATTTGTATGAATATTCTCAGAGGAAGTGAACAGTTTACCTAAAGCCTTGTAATTTTTGTACCTAAAGCGTTGCCCTGTGGTGTAGCCCTCAAGAACAGGTAGAGTTGAGCTGGAAGCGGCAGTTGAGAGAATCTGGCCCAGCTCTCTCACCTCGCTGAGTCTCATTTTCCCACCTGCAGCGTGTGGATGGCTGGGCACATCTCGGAAAGCTCTTGTGAAGACTGAACGGGAAAGCTCGTTGGTGGTGTTAACTGAGAAGCCAGGTACTTACGTAATCAGTTTTGCCACCTGGCAGGCCTTGTTCATGGCACAGTCCGTTATGCTCAGAGACCTGTAGTGGGTATCAAGTTATCGCCGAGCGCTCTTTTCTCACCCAGCATGTTTCATGTAGCCTTACTGTGTGCAACTGCACCTCCCAGACATCACAAGGGCCATTGCCAACCTTGCTAAGTGTTCCGTCTTAGTTACTTTTTCAATTGAGGAGACACCCAAAGTTGAAGGAGGAAAAGTTGCTTTGGGCTCACAGTTTATGGGGGTTTCACTCAATAATCAGCTGGCTCGAAGGCAGGGTGGCATGGCAGAGGGGCCTTGCAGAGCAGAAATAGTACAGGCAGGAGACAGGGAAGCAGTAGACAGCAGCAAGCAACAACAGCTGCCACAGCAACCCTCTTTCTGTTCCTGATATTCTGTCCAGGCTACCCGTCCTTCACAACTGGGGTGGGGCAGCCTTGTCTTAGCACCGGGCTGGGGATTTAGCTCAGCGGCACAGTGCCTATCTGGCAAGTGCAAGGTCGTGAGTTCAATCCCTGGTACTAGAAGAAAAAAAAAATCTTAGCACCACACAGTGAATCGATCCTAACATCACATCCTAATCCCAGCAGTCCAGATAAGATAAAAGGAGCAGAGAGGGGCGTGTTTCTTCCTTCCGCTTACTGCTTTTGCCTCTTCCACCACCACGAACTGTTCCTCCTCTGCCATGTGCCACCCCTGCCTTGGAGCCAGCTGAGTATGAACTGAAAACCTCTACAAACTGTGAGCTAAATGAACCTTTCCCCTTTTAACGTTGGGTGTTGGGTGTTTTGTCTCAGCAACGAGAGAGAAGTAACTAAGACACCAGGTGGTTTAATTTATACTTGCTATAATACACAGCTCATCTGTGCAGTAGCAGAGTGATCTCTGATTGGTCCCATGTTATATCTTAATATTGGGTATTTACCTATAGTTCATTGTCATCAGCAAAGCTAAAAACAGTTGTTTATATTTATTTCTCATCTAAATAAACATAATTAGTTCAAAACTTTTACATGAATGAACATTTATTAATAATAAATTTAATGTGAAAACCAGTAGGACTTCATTTATAAGGAAAGTAAGCACAAGGATTAAGTTAGTTATTCCAATCATATGCACTGATTAGAACAAATGTGAGAAGCATTTAAACTCTGAGACTTAAATAATCAATCAGAGACTGATCCAGCAACCACTCATCCTTAATTCCAGCACCCTTAATCCCAGCACTAGACCATGAATCAGTCACAAACTCTAGATTCAGCTGCCTCCGAAAAACCCACCTCGCATGACCAGATGAGGCTTTGGAATTACATCCAGACACAAACCATAACACTTGGCTTAACCTTGAGCCACCTAAGTAGGACGTGCTGTTTTGTAGTAATGTGTAGGAATAAAAGGAAGATGGTATTACAGCCCTGTTTTCTAAGAAAGGAAGCTGAGGTACAGAGGGATTATGTCTCCGCTGAGATTCTGCAGCTATTTAGATGATTCAACAAGGACCAGCTAAAAGCCTGCCTCTGAAGATAAAATGTTCTCAAAGCAGATAGTGTGGTTCACTCCTTTGATGAATTACCGTCCTGTTTTTTCCTCCGGAACATTAGGCTGCTGTATGGAATCGCCAGTTGGTACTGTTGGTAAATAGTTGTTGTAAATACGCTAAGACATTCCAGTGTTTGTTTTGGCCTTTTTAGTGTCCCCAATCTGTACAGGTTAGTTTGATGACAGTTCAGTCCGCACAGTTCTGACAAGAAAAGAACAGGTGAGACGGGGCAGCAGTAGGACTCAGACCTGGTAGAGCCGAGTTGGAATTTCCCCAGCTGTGTCGCTTGTGACTGTTTCTTGACCTCAGGAGCCGCCGTTTTCTGTCTGTAAAATGGAGGTGACTGCCCACTTCATAAGGTCATTTGAGGCTTAAATGAGAAAGTATGTGGAAAGTACTTAGCACAGCATCCGAGGAGAATAAACACAGTCCTGAAGCAGCCAGGCTATGAGGTGCCTGACTCCAGATAACTCCTGGGTGACCTTGGGCAAAATCACGCAGTTGGTTGAATTCAGTGTTTACATCTGTCAAAGAAGCTTCCTCTGAGAATCATATGAGATCACATAAATGCAGCACATAGTATAATCAGTATTAGTGTTACTGTTACTATTCTTTAAGGAGTTGCATTTCCTAGTCTTTAGCCTTCAGTAAAAATTGTAGAAGATGCCTATAAAAGATCTGGGCACCTGGGAAGTGTTTTCTCACTATTACAGTGAACTGTAGGCAGCAGTTCACTGAGTCAGGAAAGGAGGTAAGCAGGGCGCCGCACGGTAACACTCACAGAGCAGACGCTGCAGTCGTTTCCACGCAGGTGACTCCGCTGGGCGTAAATGCCACGTTCTCTCTAACCGTTCATCTGTCGAGGGGCATATGGGCAGATTCCAAGGCTCACCTATTATGAGTTGTTGCTGTTATAAATGGGAATATGCATGGGTCACTATAATGGGATGTGTTTAATTCTTTTGTGAAGATACCTAGAAGATTAGCTGGGTTGAACAAAATTGCTACTTTCAGTTTTTTGGGGACTCTTCCATACTGATTTCCATAGTGGTTGTACTAGTTTACAATCCCACCAACAGTGTAGAAGGGTTCCTTTACCCCTCGCAGCTTTGCAGACATTTATTATTACTTGTTTTTGTTTTTTGATGATAGCCATTCTTTTTGGAGTGAGATGGAATCTCAGTGTTGTTTAATCGCATTTAGTGACCAATGATGTTGAACTTTTTTAAAGGTATTATCAGCCATTTTTACTTCCTCTGAGAAGCATCTATGCATTTTGCTTGTCAATTCTTTGATTGTGTGTTTTATTTTGGGGGTGAAATTTTTTTCAGTCCTTTCTATATCTTAGATATTAGTTCTTGGTCTGAAGTATAGCTTGCAAAGTGGTTTTCCTTTGTGTAGGTTTTCTCTTCGCTCTATTGGTTGTTTTCTTTGCTGCACAGCTTTTTAATTGGAGATGATCACATTTGTTAATTGTTAATGTTATTTCTTGTCCAGTTGTGATTCTGTTCATAAAGTTCTTGGCTTGTCTGGGTCCTCAAGAATTTTACCTATTTTATCTTACAACAGGTTGCATTTCTATTTTAATATTTAGATAGATTTTAGTTGAGTACATGGTGAAACATTTGGCTGTAGATTCAATCCACTGCGTGGGGAGAGTCAGTATTCCCAACACCATTTGCTAAAGAGTCTGTCTTTCCTCCAGCATATGTTTTTGGCCCTTCGGCCGAAGGTCCGATAGCTGAATGTGCCTGGGGATATTTCTGCATCTACTGTTCCGTTCCACTGATTGATTTGTTTTGTGCCACTCAGATGCTGTTTTTATCACTGTAGCTTTGTAACATAACTTGAGGTCCAGGCTGGTGATACCTCCTCCTTGTTCTTGTTGCTCAGGATTGCTTTTGCTATTCTGTTATTTTTGCTGGTTCCATGTGAATTTTAGGATGATTTTCTCTAGTTCTGTGAGGAAGGCTGTTGGTATTTTGATTGGGATTGTGTTAAATCTGTACAACACTTTCAGAAGTATGTCCATTTTGACAGTATTGATTCTGTCTATCCAGAAACAGGGATATTTCTTCTCTCTTTTTTTTTTCTTTTTTTTTTGGTGGAGACAGGGTTTTGCTATGTCATCCAGGCTGGCCTTGAACTCACTATGTAGCTCAGGCTGTCCTCAACCTCACAGCAATCCTGCCTCAGCTTCCCGAGTGCTGGGATTATAGGCATGCACCTCCACACCTGGCCCTAGAGAGAGATTCTTGAATAGTGGGATTTGTGAGTGCTTTTCAGATTAGCAAAGAAAAGAAGGAAGCTTCATATTACAGATCCATTTTCTGATGTCTTCGTAGATCTCCTTTTTCAGAGTACTGTAGTTTCAGTTGTAGAGGTCTTTCACTTCCTTGGTTATATTCATTTGTAAGTATTTAATTTGACTTGATGCTATTGTTTTCCTGTTGCCAGTGGGTTCATTATTGACACACAGTATTGCTATTAATTTTTGTGTTTTGTATTCTGCTATATTGCTGAATTTGTTTGTGAATTCTAGTAGTCTTTGGGTGGAATTTTTGGGTATTCTATGTAAAGAATGTCATCAGCAAATAATGTTAAGTTCTCTTCTTTCTTTACTATATGTACCCCAATCATTTTTTTGCTCTTACGTAAGTGCCCTGGCTAATA